CTGCACTATAGATTGAACGATGAATTCGACCCCTCAACCAACCAGAGTCCTTCCATTCAGTCCAAATTTCAACATGTAGTGGCGGTTTCAATTAAGATCTCAGGAAAGTATATTAAAGGCATGTACTATAATAACGCATAGAATTGATTCGGTAAATTATCTTTATAAAATCAAATGCAGCACATCGCCATCGATTTGGTCTCTTGAGATCCGGAACAGTGGGTAATGCAGGACTCAAATCAAGCTGCAGTGTGGTGGGCCCTTTTAAGCATATTATTTCTGTAACTCTTGTATAATTTCTTTGAGTCTAGCTTGTGCAATAAATTAGATGATTCTTAAGTATTCTTTCACTTGAATTGAATTATTTTTTAACAATAGCTAAAGTCTATTTAATTTATATGTCAGCAACATATCTACATTCCTGCAATCACATTTCTCTATTTCATCCAAAAAAATATCCCAAAAATTGATAAATTTATCAAAAATCACTAAATTACAACAAACTTGACACTGGAATTGACTTAATATTTATGCAGGCTGTCAAACCCCACTGGGTGAGTCTTAATACCTTTAATAACCAGTTTTATAAAAAAATAAAAAAAAAAAAAAAAATTAAAATAAAAAGTAATAATTTAGTAAATAGAGGTATTATCTGTCAATATATGATGATAGCGTACACTATAAAGGTATAAGTATGGTAATTACACACACAAACGTGCCTACTTCATTTAGCAAGGAAAATAGATCTTGTCTGATATTTTAAAAACACAATTTCCTCATTAAATATTGATTTGTATAGAAAAGTAAATACTAAACTAAAGATTAAACAAACCTTTGTTCGATTGCTGATGCTGTGCCATAGGTATTCCATTTAAAATATGAGAAATAATTCATCTGACTCGTCCTGTATTCTGCAAACAAGATTGCAAAATTTGGCAAACCAAATTTTAAAGAAGACACCCATTATACAGTACTTCCTATTAATTTTTAAATTTTCAAATCTTGTAATTGTAAAAGGGCTTTTAAAACCATTTGGTACAGTATAAGACATTGGTATTTTTGGAACGGAGATTTAGTGGCAAACCTACTGAGTTAAAAATATATAGTATTCCATTTTAAAAATATACAACTCTTTGATTCTGAAAATATGAATAAAATCTGCCTATTGGACAAAATATTTTCAAACAGCCACCATTTTTATAATTATGTAAAATTAATTGAAATTCACAAACCAAAAACCTAAAATAGAGCTTTTCTGAAGTCTGAATCTCACTCTGTAATAATTCCTATATTTAATGGAGAATTTCCAGTTTTTTTTCAAAATACCTTACAGATTGTCTATTCCACCATAGAACTTTCTATTTAGATATTTTCTATATTTCTATGGATTAATGTCAGTAGATCTATTTCATAGAGTCTAGATAGATGGCTATATATGATATGCATGGGGTCAGTTAATTTTATCAAAAAATAGAATATGTAGAGTAAAAATATTCAAACAAAAACAAAACAAAAAAAAAAAAAAAAAATGTATTTTAATATTTTCAGAATTAGAACTCGATGAGTAAACGTATCTACGACAAATTCAAGAAGAGCTGAACTTCAACAGCTTCATTCAAAATGTTTCCTGTTCACTACAGTTGAAATGATACTCTTTTTAAAAGATCTTTTCACCTTAAAACGTATATGTAAAATTACACTGCGAAAAGTAGCCATAGACAAGTGTGAATTGCTACTTTGATCTCATTGTCAAAATATTCGCAGTGATTTTCCCATGACTCAACTTAATAATTCATATTCTTTTCGCTCCAGGAACTCAGCAGGTTGTCACCGAAGTATGATGCGCTAATGAGCAGAGAGCCTGACTCTTAGGATCCGGGTGAAAGGCGTTTTAGGGGTTGTACAGTTTGGTTCACTGGACTTTCCGGGGCTGGAAAAACTACAATTTCTTTTGCTCTGGAAGAATTTCTGGTCTCCAATGGCATTCCTGCTTACAGCCTGGACGGAGACAATATGAGAACAGGTAAGAATGATCAACAACATCAATTGTATAAAAGCACATGCCTTGATTTCAGTTTTTTATTTCTATTTCTGTCCTTTTAATTCTATTCTTCACCTATAAAGTTTTATCCTCTCAAGTCTCTTTAACATCTCTTTCCACTTTTGTCTCCTTAGTCTATTTCTCCTTTTTCCTCCACATCTTATCACCATTTTAGGAACTCTTGTTTCAGCCATTCTTTCCACCATTCTGTATTTCTAGTAATGATATATTGCTTTTATTGATTTGTTTATTCTTCTGGTCTACAAGTTGTCTGTCTTCTTCCCTCCAAAAATCCCATCACGCCTTCCTTCCCAAACCCTAACCCTCGAAATTTCCGTTGTATTGAACGTCTACGTTTCACATGCACGTAGTACAATTGGTTTGGTACATTCTGACTTTTTCTTAATTTGAATGAAATTGTTTGTATCTAAGATTCTGAGACTTTTAAAACCTAGAGATGTTCTTGCTCCATTAACTCTTGTAGTAAGGTTCACACATCTAATTCCACTAAGTTTAACATAACTTCTTGAGTTTTTAAGCAAACATTGGTTGTTGGATATGTGAATGTATCTACTCTTCAAGTCTCAGAATTCTTTTTTTTTTTAATTTCATTTTAAGACATTTTCCTGTGTGGAAATCCCCATCTGAGCTGCTCCATAAATCCTACTTTCTGTTCTATTAAAGTCCTGAAGCTTCTACTTTTAAGCCTCCTCTGGATTTTGGAGTCTTTTGGTTGTCCAATGTATGATAAAACAAGATATTTATAATGTTTCCAAAACCCTCAATACTAAGGAAATGTCTCTGCTAAAAATCAAGTTTTAACCCCAAAGCCATTCCCATTTGTCCCTTTCTATATTTGCACTTACTTTCCTATCCCTGCACCCTGCTTGTGCAGATACTTGATAGGATGGGACTGTGTTCTTGGTTCAGCCTCCCAGGAGCCCTGTAGTGAGTCATTTTAGCAGCTGCAGCTCAGTATATTTATTTATAATATATATAAGTTTGGTTTAAAAATAAAAAAAATGTTAAACTTTTTAGCTCAGCTAAAAATCTTGTGGGATTCTGGAAGAAGACAGAGAAGAGAATATTAGACGTATTTCTGAAGTTTCAAAGCTTTCAAGGACGTAGCCCGCATTTCTATCTTGGTAGCCTTGTTTCTCCATTTAAAGAGGACAGAGATCGCTCTAGAAAGGCTCACGAAGAATCGAACTGCACCAACCTTAGAAGTGATCAGATTTTTCCCAGAAGGGCAAGTGCAAGAACTGACAAGTTTGGGGGCTATGGTGATTAGATATAAGGATTAGTAGATACCTATATACACTGTAGTTTGAAAAATTGGAAAAATTTACAGACATCCTTTAATGTATCTCGAAATATTGTTCTGCAATTCTATTGAAACATTCAACTAAAGAGCCACACCCACTGTCCATTCAAGTTTGCAAAACGACCTTAGAGGGCGCAACTACAGAAAAGGTATGAAAATGCATCCTGGCAGAATTTTGCCTAGATAATGGTACTATAAATAATAGAAAAAAAAAAAAAAAAAAAAAAAAAAAAAAAAAAAAATTCTAGAATTTTTTTCATTAGAACCATTTTACCCTATCTGCCAAAATAAAATGGTGGGGAAGGTTAGATCTATATTTATTTAGCCCAACAACTCTGGACTGGATGATCAGAATCCAAATGTTGAGGGCTCTGTTTTTGAGATGCCTCTCACTTCCTGTTTTATTTATACCATGTAATAATAAATTAATACAGAATGAAGTGGTCTTAAACGTAGACGCTAGCTTTCTTGCTAAATTTAACAAACTTAGCAAGGTTTTTTCAAAAAAAAATTAAAATACATATATTTTTAAATTAATTTTTGTTTGGTGTAATTTTAAATTGATAAAAGAGTAGAAGCTTAAAAAAAGTTTTTTTATAATTTTGTGTCAATTTGTTTTGGAAGATGATGCAAAATTATAATAAGCCAATTTCATTTTAAAATATATCTGCACTCATCCTAATTTTACAACATGGTATCAATGAAATTCCTTTGATTATGTCCATTTGAATAAAAAACATAAACAAAAAAAAAAAAAAAAAAAAAAAAAAACCCAAAATTTACTGAAGATAATGAAGTTATTTTTTTAGTACCCATTATCTAGGGCAAAATTCTAAAATCATATCTTCTGTTTTCCATAGCAGTTGCGCCCTCTAGCTACTGTTTTACAAACTTGAAAAATTTCCAACAATTCTCTCTCAACCTTTAGTTATAAATATTTTCTTCCCTGTAGGGGCCCCATTGGGCTAATAATTTGGAGATATTGTAGCCTTTAGAGCTATTCTTAGTGGGACACCCTGTTAAAAAGATCTAAATAATAAAATGGGATAAACCAACTTCTTTTAAAAGAAGTAAAGTTACCACCTTTGTCCTAAAATTGACAGGTCTCTAGCATAAAGCCAGAGAACAGATTGCACTACTGAGTTGGATCAGAGTTCTAGAAACCAGAGCAACCTGAGTCTGGTTCTGAAGTTCAGGCACAACCAGAAGACTACTAGAATTAGTAGTAGAAATGTTAGCTAGAAAATGTAAGTATTTCCAAATAAAAACGGGAACTTTTTACTGATTCCTTACCTTTTTAAGGGTATCATTCCAAGTAACAAACATGAATGCCTAAGTCCAACAAAGTAAAGCCTTTAAGGCAGTAAAGAACTGTTTGTACCTGAAAATGAACTTAAGGATATTGTAAATGATTCCCATAACATGCCTAGGATTGATATGAATAAAGTAGATGTGCAATGGCTGCAGGTGCTTAGTGAAGGATGGGCTACGCCTTTGAAAGGATTTATGAGAGAAGATGAATACCTTCAGGTTAGTGTATTAGCATAATAATAGTTTCACGACACATAAATGCAAAACGAAGAAGTTACTTATTTATAACACACCTAGTATTTCGTGATATATTAATTATTGTTAAAATAGTTTATTTCCAAATGAATGAATGCCAACCACCAAATAATAAAGCTCATACTTTTCTCTTTGGGATGAATATGATGCCAGCTAATTCCCCTCTGCACCTTTTAGGTAGGCAACAAACCAAAATACAAGATGTTTTGAGTAATGTAACTACTCTATTAACTTATTTGCGCCAGCTATTAGCTCTAATTAATTTTGATAACTGGATTCAATTTCTTTAAGTGAAAGCAATGAAGTCAAAGTTTCCAGCTTCTTTTTTAACATTTCCATTTTAATGGGTACCAAAACCAACTAAAAGGAAAGGCGTTATTTTTAATGTAGAAAACTGAACTTGATTGACAAAAACCGTCAATTTATAAATCGTTACCAGTCAATAACAGTAAACTGACAACAAATAGTTATTTATGATATATGTATGCTAAAAAGTGGCATTTCGGTGGAGAAGGAAGCTTAACTATAGATGTAAACTGATTAACTCAACAAATCGAGTTCTATATCAAGCGATTGCAATAACTTATTACTCACTGAGTTGATATATCACTCGTATTTAAAAACACGGTTTTTCACCCGTCGTCGCTTGTTGTAAGTAAGTTAACGCCAAGCAGTAAACTGCGTGCGCAGGGCACATATATTGTTCTTTTGGTAATGTTCCAGTAAGTAGTAAGTAGCGGCAATTCGTCGATCGCTTGATTTATTTCATTCTGAAGCATTGTCATCGATGTACGTCGTAAAAATTTTGGTCCTCAGATACGCAACGGAAAAATTATATCGGTAAGGTTCAAAAGCGGCTCACCCCCATAACTTCAATTTTTCAGATAAAAACGAGATTTTGTGTTAGTATACGACATAAATTCAGGATTGATTGATCGCATTCAATTGTTTTGGGTCACTTCCAGTGAAAAACGATGATTTTAAGTGGCATCCCTGGTATTTTTTACTCTTTATTTTTTTTTTTAATTTTCTCTTTATTCTGAATATAATGACACATCACATGTCAACTTTGAGCATTTCGTACACGGTTTATTCTTGAAAATTGTAATATGAAGCCCATAAACGACAATTTGACTCAGTACCACGTGTGGTATCAAATTATCTGTAAAAAAATTCTTCGAAATATGCTAAAAAAAAAAAAATTTCTAAATATGCGAAAAGAAGCGATAAAAAATACGATTTTAGCAATTTTAAACTGGCCACAAGACACTAAAACATTAGACGATCAAATCTATTTTCCAAAGGCTCCTTGATCAAAATTCAGCTTTTTTTTAGACGCACCCGGTATATACGCAGCGTCGTACACCTGCTACACCAGTAAAATGTATGTAGAAAATCTGCCTGGTTTCTTTTATCGAGTATGCCTACCTTAAAATGTATTCTAAATTCTATTCTTCATCTGAAAGATCGCTTGTCTTCGTCGCTTGGTTCATTTGACTTGCATCGTCGTTAATCGAGCGATGTCTCTGCCATTTCAAATAATCGATACTGGAGCCGAATCCTTCGCCCGAGCGTTATCCCATCACTACTTTAGACGTCCCATGCCTCTGAACAAAATAAAATCACTTTTTAGCACAATATATCATAATATCTATTTTTCTCAGCAAACAAGTGTTTATGCCTCGTATATACAAGGTATTATTACTCTATGTTTACGAATAATTCATAACATGTCATTCTGAAATCAAACTAATTATGAAGTTTATGGTTACAAGAGATAACATTATCACTCTTTAGTGTTAAAAGTAACCACGTGACTTTCTTTAGCACCAGCAAGCAAAAGTGAACGACGAGGTAAAATTACTTTTACCATTAGTTACATAATGCCACATTTTAGGCACTGACAGCACGCGTTAAAAATTACATTTACGTTTGTAGAAAAAGTTTTTTTTTTAAAAGTAATAATACCTTGATATTTACGAGCATAAACTTGTTAAGAAAATACAAAATAAAAAAAAAAAAAAATTATAATTTTGATATTTTCAATCTATATTCACTGCAATTGGAGTAAAATTGTTCTTCAGATATACATTTTACATAATAAAACTTCAAACATATAGTACATATCAAATAAATAAACTTTGTGATTAATCTTGACTGGCACAACGTTGTCCACTTTCTCATGTTCTCTGTTAATCAAAATATTTTTAGGGAAACAAAAAAATAAATTCAATTATAAATATATAAACAGTTATTATTTTACATCAACAAAACTTGCTTTCTTAACAGCACTTATGGGACATAAAAGGCTATCACTACCTGCTTCCTTGTTCAAAATATTCTAAATAAAGTTACGATGAGTTCTTCACACAATAAGACATCTTGTGTTACCCCTGAACTAGAAGAGGTTTTAAAAGAATACGAGTTCCTGACAGCAAGTAGCTCCTGCTATTAAATTATCCTAAGCTTGAAAGTATCACAAACACCATTTATTCAAACCAAAACCTGCACACAAGTCAAAGTGTGAAAAACAAATGACAACAAGACCAGAAATAAATAAATAAATGTATCAACTCTTGAGGAGAAAGAACTACCACCTAAACCTAGCGGGAAATTTAAATTTAGTTAGTCAGCCTGGCAACAAAAAATATATACAAAAAAAAAAAAAAAAAAAAAAAAAAAAAAAAAAAAAACTGAAAGTTTAATTGATACCAAATATATATATATTTCTTAGGTTCCTTCATCTTTAACACCCCTATCCAAATAAAAGCCAGAATAAACCAAAGTGTTCCCATAGTACTACCCATAAGCAGCTCTGTAAAAGAAAAGCTGGAAGGCAAGAAGGATGTTGCATTGTTTTACAACGATGAACTGTACGCCATTTTAAGAGATCCAGAAATATTTTACCACAGAAAGGAAGAAAGGGTTGCTAATGCCTATACCTTCATATAAAGGACATCCACATCGTTATAAATTAGAAATTTCAAATGCAAACCAAATACAAATACACCTATCAGTATCTGTGTCTTTTAAACTTCAAGGAATGCTAATAAATAATTTGTTATCCAACTATACAAAAACAGAGATTTTTCCACCCATGAATCCGCCCAAATGTTTGAACCCCATATTTTTCCTGGGACCCTTTCCAACTAGACATTGATCGAAAACTTGAATCCCTGGATTCAGAAACCCTTTCTTGATCTTATTTGTTATAGCCTTTGTTGATGGATTTAACATATTATCCATTCGGTGCACATAGATCATTCCATGATTTCATGGTATATGATTTCTGGGACAAAAATATTACCTACATTGGCCAAAATTGGAGAATTTTTGCACACATGCAATGTTTCAAGATATTGTACTTTAGTAGATATTGTTGGTTCCTCGACCTCCAAGAAGTATTTAATTTACTGATTATTACAGGCACGTACACATCTACACACCACGGTTAAAGATTAAGAAAAAGCGGCATGTAATTTTGAGATTCCTTCAACAAGATATCTAAGTAAATAACTGTGCATTAAAATACCCTGAGCGAGTAATTGGACAGTTATATAAATAAAATAAACTATTATTTATTATTTAGAGATTTATATTTTTAAAAGACTGAAGTGGTATACTTTGATATGATTTTAGCTGATATACGAGATTTATATTTTTAAAAGACTGAAGTGTATTCTTTGATATGTTTTTAGCTGATACGAATCCAGGATTACCAATTGAGGTGATCTAGTTTGTGTAAAAAGAGCCGGTTAACGATGGCTTGGACGAGTATCGAATGACTCCTAAAGAATTGCGAAAAAAATTCGAAACTATGGGTGCCGATGTAGTTTTCGCGTTCCAACTTCGAAATCCAATCCACAATGGACACGCTTTGTTGTAATAACTAAAGGTAATAATTAATAATAGACCTGATAGATAAAAGAGTAGGAATACTCTGGAAATAAAACACTAATTCACCAGAATAGTCCAAAGACTTACCTTTGCACTGGACGCTCTTGCCAACCATGTTAGGAGACAGTTTGAAAGATAAAAATATAAACAAAAAAAAAAAAAAAAAACTTCAAAAAAAAAGTATATTTTTTTAAAATAATGTTTATTACAATTAAATCCTAAAAAATAGCTCTCGAATAACATAAAGTATGATGTGTAACATTTGAAAATAAAATAGATTAAAGAAAGCAGGTATAATGCATGTATCTGCTACCTAGGGAGGTAAGCAGCCAAGGAGAATCATTTTTATGAGACCTTTGTTGGAAAAAGTGGTCATCTCTAGCGCAGGGGAAATAAAGGGTTTACTTTAAATGACCATTAAATCAAAATAATCAACAATGAGAGATCGAACTCAACATATACTCGATTATTATAAATAAAGTAAGGCCAAAACTAGTTGCAACACGCCTTCAGCAAATCGATGTTTATTTTATCTCATCTCAACATCATTTCCCCGTGCTTTCAACAATTCTTAAAGGCTTCTTTTCCAAATGTAGAAATTTACTAGGTAGCAGCGTTATCTTAATTGTTCCCTCTCTAATGAACTTTTTCAATACAGGAAGGTAATTTTCCTTTTACCTCCTCTGCTCTACAACCTACATTGATTGATATGCTCCTTCTTTCCTTCTTTTTATGTAATATCTCTTTTTACTTTTCATACAATCTACATATAAAATACTAATGTTTATCTGTGTCGCCTCTACAGAAATGTTTTGATTGCTCTAGAAAGTTGCTTTTTTACTAAAAAGATAGCTAATTGGCTCTTCTAAAAAAAGTCGAAAAGACGAAAAAGTCGTCACCCAATTTTTTGTTTTTCGTGGCGGATGCTTGAGCTTCAACTAGTTATTATTAATAAAAATGTATAAATAATTTTTGTTTAGACAATTGATTGAAAAAGGTTATAAGAAACCAGTGTTGCTTTTAAATCCTCTTGGTGGATGGACCAAAGATGATGACGTTCCACTTGACATACGCATGCAGCAACACCAAGCAGTGCTCGAAGATAACGTGTTGGATAAGGATTCCACAGTTCTGGCTATATTTCCCAGTCCAATGTGTTATGCTGGACCAACAGAGGTTAGTAAAATATCTATGCCATTAAAATACAAAAAAGTGGTATGTAATTTTATTGCTAAAAGAATTTTGATCTCATTAGAATTATGTTTAACAGTGTTGAAGTATTGAAAAACTTCATTTAGAACACCTCAGAATTAGTGGTTTTAATTGTTATGCTTATTTTAATTATTAATTTACTTAAAAGCTTACGATCATTCACAATGTCTAAAAAATGCAATTAAAATTAATAGAATATCCTAGTAAAGATTCATTCAGAATCTAACAATTAGTGGAATCAATTAGTGGTTTTAATTAGCATAGAAGTTTATTCCTCTAATTTAAATGTAAGCATTCGGAACGTCAAAATTAATCTTCATTCAGAACCTCCCAATTAGTGGAATAAATTAGTGGTTTCAATTACACTTTATACATTTTAGTTTACGATCATTCACAATGTCTAAAAAACACAATTAAAATTAATAAAACATCTTAGAAACAGCTTGCGGTGGTCTGTTGTATCCATAGAGAAAGCATAATATTTAGCTTGGCAAACAATAAACTTTTTTGATTTCTAGCAAGAATTTTTTCTTCAAATGGTGATATCAAAGGCCAAAATGACATTTCTCATAAAAAAAAAAAAAAAAAAAAGTGGAAATTTTAAAAGATTGTTAACTTTTTCCACTAATTGGAAATTACTACCACTAATTATGACGTTCTGAATGCTTACATTAAAATTAGGTGAACAAACTTCTACGACTAAGTGAAACTACTAATTTATTCCACTGATTTCGAGGTTCAGTATGAAGCTTAACACTAATTTTGACGTGCTAAATGCTTAAATTCAACGAAATTCAACGATTAAGAACAAACTTCTAAGCTAATTGAAACTACTTATTTATTCCACTAATTCCGAGGTTCTGAATGAAGCTTTACATTGAAATTAGAAGAACAAATTTCTACGATAATTGAAATCACTAATTTGTTCCAAAGTTTTCATTGAATACACTGTTATTATAAATTATGGAAAATATACACTAACTGGCATTCATTCTTTTCTGGTAGGTGCAATGGCACGCCAAAGCTAGGATGGTAGCCGGCGCCAACTTCTACATAGTAGGCCGTGATCCGGCCGGGGTACCACATCCAGAGGGAACCAAAGCCACCCCTGACGGAAACATGTACGATTCGACCCACGGTGGGCGCGTTCTTAAGATGGCTCCGGGATTATCCACTCTGGAAATCATACCGTTCAGAGTTGCTGCATACGACACGAAAGAAAAGGCTATGGCCTTCTTCCAGCCGGACAGGAAGGAGGAGTTTGATTTTATTTCGGGAACTAGAATGAGAAGTAAGTTATTTATTTGAACTAATACACATAGATTTTAAAGTTTGGCATCACCTTGTTTTATGAAATAATTTTTCTGAGAAATCAATTTTTCAGGATTTGTTTGTCAATCATTGTGAATCATTGCATATAATTTGTTGTAAAAAATGTTTCCTCCTTCAAGAATATCCGATATAGCCTTTTCAGTGTAATTATTCTTATGGATAAGCCAGTTGAATATCCCAGTGGATATTGTGTGTTATGTCATAAGTGAGATTGACTGTGTGGTCCTCCGAAGAACGTCGGGTCGTAGGTTCTTAAAGATAGGTAGCTGATAGAGTTGATGTTTGGCAAAGTGGTCTGTCACAAAAATGTAATTGCTATCTCCAGAATAATTCACTGAATAATAGACCTAGGAGCTGCCGAAGACGTATTACCAATCAACGGTATAATCGCTATATCCATCTATCCAACGAATCCCAAGGATGGCAATTCAAGCTCTCTAAAAAGATATGAGACATTCTTTTAAACGGTGAATACTTGCGACAGATTCAGTGTGTCGTCGATCTCAATAACTGCAATCTAATCTAATTGTAGTCTAATCTCTTTACCACAGTCAAATTTTATACAAAAAATATCACCCAATTTTGAAAATTGATTCATTTGACTGGTGAATTTTCCACTAGAGTATAATCATTACATTTAACATCTTTTTTTAACTCTTTAGAGTATTGTAAGAACTGGAGAACAGCCACCAGAAGGATTCATGGCACCAAAAGCGTGGCAAATCATTTCAGATTACTATCAGTCCTTGGAATTGAAGTCGTAATGAATTAAAGCTTTATTTCCTTGTTGTTATCTACCATTATGTTTTAATATAACGTGTAAATCATTTATATTTACAATAAATATTAATATAATTTCCCCCAAAAAATATTATAAAAATTCAAATTTGTATTCTTTGCAAAATTGTAAATTACAATTGTAATGTCACTTTAATTGTAAAATTCAATAATTAATGTATATTTGTTTCTATTATGTGTTTTTACTGATGTTGAGCTAATCTTTAGTGTTTAATTAATTAAAATAACATTTGATTTTAAAAAATATATATTATTAAATTTTTTTTTTTTTTTTTTTTTTTTTATAAATAAAAGTATAAAATGCTTTGTTTACTTTGTTCTGCTGTTTTACTCATCTTTCTATGTGAAGTCGCCCAGATAAGATCTCTCAATATGCAGGGTGTCCTAATATTTATTTGTATAATAAAATTTCTGGTCAGATAATATATCACTGACCGTTGAGGTGTAAACTAATCTAAAATCTAAGTCCTAAAACTACTGTAAGAGTCAGTTATTTTTCAATAACATTTTAAACAATAATTAAATAATAATTCAGTAAAAAACCTAAGAACAAGATAAAATCTGTGTATTTATTGCTGCCTGGTGACCCTTTAGGGTCGTTTACGGCGGGAGATTCCCAGAGCTTTATAGTATCTCGATGACTCTAACTCCTAAAGGAACTGTCCTCTCTCATTTCCAAAGCAACTGTATCCTGTGTTAGTCGAAGGTGTTCTTGTGTTGAAATAAGAAGTCAAATTCTATTTCAATTTTTAATTTATATTCGTATTCTTTTAAAACTGTATATTGTTTATTAAAAAAAAAACTATTTTATTTTGCAGAGCTTTACGTATTTTAAAAGCATTTAATTAATAAACTCATTTGAATAAAAGCAAAAGATAATCAAAGTAACAATCAGTCTTGAACTGATGGAAGAAGGTGATATGTACCTAATATTTAAAGGCTACTCTTTTACTTACCAGAGATGTAAGTAAAGCATAAGATATACAGCACTGTCGCGCGTACACGTCCCTTCAGTGTCTCGGCCTTTTAGTACGATTTTAGGTCTATAGCTCATTATCTTGTAACAGAGACCTCGCGCGTTGACTTCTCTTGGTCTTATTGCACGTTCCTGGTAATTAGCGCTGGTGGTAGAAGATTAGTATCTATGATTAGTACGTCGCGCGTTGACCTCGTATGTTGATCATCCCTTCGTACGGTGTGCACACAAAATTACTTCACCCTAGCTATAGTATATCCATTGCCTCTGATTTTGTCTCTGCGTTTATGTATATTTGTATGTGTGTATATTTTTATATGCATATTCATATGTATGCATTATAATATAGTTTATATTTTCTCTACTCTCTAGGAATTATCTATTCTTGTATGGTTCTTTGTTTCCATTTATCAGATAATGTTTGGACTAACGAACAAACCTATCTCGAAACTAAACTAATTAACATGAATAGTGTCCATTAAATAATATAAGCTTTATTAATGTAAAATTGGTTGCTAAGAGGTATTGTTTTTCTGCTTGTTTACAGACGTAGTGTCATCCAGCCACCTCGACATCTAGGTCTCCCACACTTAATTTAGTTTAGTTGTTTCTTTTCTATTATTTGTAAGTACTTTCCTATATATGTATATTTTAATTCTTTTAGTTTTAATTTTTTATTTCCCAATTTTCACTGCCCTTAAACCAAAATTTGATCTACACTACTGAGCTTTTCTACTAAGAGGCATTTACTTGTGAAAAAGTTGGACACAGTTAACCCTGAAGTTGTCCACTCAGTTGCCTATTATAAGTGGTTGCCATATCGTAGATATTCCGCAATAAATGTTACTAAAGATCTTATTATTGTTTTATGAATGATTGCCTAGACAAACTTCTTTCTTTAATATTATTTTGAAATGTTTTTTTAATTTTTTTTAAAAATCCCGTGAATAAATCCCAAAAAGAAATGAGATCCCATCAAAAACATGAAAGAAGAATACCACCAAAACTGTTTTGTTTACACCTTTTGTTAAGCAAATTGTTAGTATCAATACTAGACATCTTAATGTCTCTAATAATTATAATGACCTGGCAATTGCACCTACACCATAATTAAAAAGAAAGAATAACCTACCATTTCCTGATTACTAAGTAAATCTTAAACAGTGCCCTTAAGAATAGAGTTTTTTAATTGGCATAGAATATCATATCGTCCAACTACAAGTCATTATAATTATTAAGCAGAAATAAAGAGATGTGTCTAAAATATTGTAAAGAAACTGTTGAATAGGTGCTTAAACTAAATAAACCAACTGACTTGGTTTTACATGAGATCTAAATAAACTTTTTATAGCGGAAGAATTGTAATATGAGACTTGCATCTTTCATTTTTACATTTTTACATGATGTTTCCTTTTGATGGGACTGTATTTTTATGATACTTCTTTACTCTTCTCTTCATAAAGAAGAAGATTTTAAAAACAAAAAAAAAAAAAAAAAAAAAAAAAATTCAAAAACAAAATTCTCAATATATTGACATTTACGCAAAAATCACTATTTATCTATTCTTTTGCCATTAGTAGTATATTGTATAATTTTATCATAATATTTAGTTCTAATATCACATTACACAAAAAGGCAACCTTAATGACAAGGTTCTAAACAGTGTTAAAAATATTGAATATATTTTTAACATTTATAAATCATATAAACCATTCACAAATTATTTCAAAACATCGTACTATAGTAATGGACCACTTAGAATAAATTATATAAGATAAGTTTTTTGATGGTTACATCTTTCAGTAGTGCGTGAACTTTTACCTGATGTGCCATCCCTAAAGCACGATGAAAGTCTTTATGGTATGTATTACTAATTATTTTATATATCATTTATATATTTTGTTATAATTAATTTTATGAAGATACTTGTCGAAAATAAACAAGTTTTTGTTCAGTGCTATTATGAAGGATTTATTTTAATTTAGAAGTACCTATGTACGATAATTTTAATTAATTAATTTATAATAATTTGTGATATTTATGGTAAATGTCAATGAAACAAGTTAAAGTCATTGAAAATTTAAAGCAAATTTCTATGATAATTTGTGTATATTTTGTGTATAATAACTAAAGCTTCATTAATAACCTCGCAATCAGTGGAATAAATTAGTGGTTTGAATTAGCGTAGAAGTTTGTTCTTTTAATTTCGCAGAACATCAAAATTACTGGTAGACATTTTCAATTAGTAGAAAAAGTCATGAAACTTTTAACTTTTCCGTTAACGATACTTCAAAATTTGCGAGAAATGTCATTGTGGCTGTTGATTATCTTCCGCCAAGAGAAACTGTGGTTAGAAATAAAAAATTGATTGTTTTATAAGCTAAATAATAGGCTTTCTCTATGGATACAAGGCAAGCTGTTGTTAGGATATTCTCTTAGTTTTAATCGTGTTTTTTAAACATGGGGAATGATCGTAAACTAAAAAGTATAAAGTGTATTTGAAACCACTAATTTATTCACTAAATGCGAGGTTCTGAATGAAGCTTAATAAATAATTATTTTGAGAATGAAGTATACCGGGTGTTTTCCAAAAGTGGTTTAAAAAACGAGATTTGGTATGTTAGTACCTACTTGACTATAAATCAGGATTGATTGACGTATTCAATTAGTTTTGGGCACTGCCTCTTTTACCAGAGATTACTGCAAATTTTGATTTTTAGACAGTAGGTACCCTCCCTTTTAATTGTTTTACTTTATTTGATAGAAAATGACATTCTAAATAGAATGACATGCCATATGTTAACTTTTGAGATTTTTGATTAAAAAACCAGTATTTTAAATTTCAATCTAGAGTGCAATGGCTATGTTAACACCACTAGCTTTTAATCAAGGAGCCTTGTAAAAATAGATTTGAACGTCTAATATTTTTCGTGTCTTTTCGTGTCGGGTTAAAATATGCCCAAATCGTATTTTTTAGCATTTTTCAAATAACTCTTTTTTTCAATAACTCTTTTTCAAATAGAACGAGGGTGGCACTTTAGCATCTATACTAATATATAAAATCCTTAAGTGACTGACATACTGATTAATCACGATCCTGCTCAAACCACTCAACGTAAGAAGCTCAATTTTGGCATACAGGTTGATTGGGTGTAGAGGTTCGATAAGAAGGGATTTTTCGAAATTCCAGTTCCAAGAGGGCGAAACCACCCCTCAAATATTACAATATTTTTTGTTTAAAAAACGTTCAAGTTTCCGAAAAAACGCTTAAATACGTATATCTTATTTTGTTTTTTACATATTTTAAGATTTTTTAAAAATGTATACAGGGTGTTTCGAAAAATCTGGTCATTGATTAATCACGATCCTGCTTAAAGCGCTTGACGTAAAAAGCTGATTTTTGGAAAACATATTGACTTTAGGGTGTAGAGGTTCGATAAGAAGGGATTTTTCGAAACTCGAATTCTAAGGGGGTGAAACTATCCCTCAAATATTAAAATATTTTTTATTCAAAAACCGGTGAGTTTTTGGGAAAAACTCTTAAACACGTATATTTTATATTGTTGTCTTACATATTTTAAGATTTTTTATAAATTTATACAGGGTGTTTCATAAAATATGACCCTTGAGTAATCACAATTCTGCTTAAACTGCTTGACGTTTAAAGCTGATTTTTGGTAAACGGATTAACTGTGGGGTGTAGAGGTTCGATAAGGAGGGGTTTCTCGAATCTCAAATTCCAAGAGGGTGAAAACGCCCCTCAAATATTACAAATTTTTTTATTTAAAAAACGATTAGTCTTTCGGGAAAACGCTTGGACAAGTATAATTTATTTGGCTTTTTTACATATTTTGAAATGTTTTAAAAAATCATACAGGGTGTTCCAAAAAGTTGGGTAATTTCTTAACCACGATTCTGCTTAAACTGCTTGACGTAAAAAACTTATTTTTGGCAAACGGATTTTTCGAAAGTCAAATTCCAACGAGATGAAACTACCCCTCAAATATTACCAAGTTATATAGTAATATCGCCATATTGTTTTTTCTCATGCTGACATAAATGTGAGAACATTTTATCCAGTTTGTATGTTAATGGAAATTCTTGCTTTGCTTTATCATCACCATTACAAATGATTAATTCGACGCGAACGAAGTCGGTGGTACACGCTAGTATTTAGATAAAGCATTTTTTATGAATAATTTGGAGCCACCTACTGGATATGTCGAGTCATATTGGTGTTACATTTATTGTGGTGGCATTCTAGATGGAAATTTAAAATACATTTTTTAAGTAACAAAAGTTGACATATGATAAGTATGTCATTTTATTCAAAATATACTTTGCTATCAAAGAAAGTAAAAAAAATACCAAAGGTACCTTTTAAAAATCAAGAGTTGAAGTCATTTCCGGTAAAACAGGAAATGATTTAAACTAATTAAATACGTAAATCAATCCTGATTTATATCTATACTAACACGCTACAACAAATATATTTTTTTTATCTGAAAAAATAAAAATGTTAAAGGAGTGATGTATTTTTCAAAAATACCCGGTATATTAAAAATTTTAAACATGTGTAAAATTTCATATTTATGCTATAACAAGAAATGAATGAGCCTTGCAAATATTTCCTTTACATCCATTATAGTTAGTAACCCCTATAGCACAGCAATATAGGAGGTAAAATATTATATTTACATATTGACCCAACGATGGACATGAGAAACGATTCATATAAAAAATGTATATTGGGCCATTAAATTTTTTTTAGTGGCCTAAAATATATTTTTTATATGAATCCGATATTAAAGATACTGTTAAAAGGTAGTGCTGTACGGATCCAAGTTTTTTAACGGATCGGGGATCCTTTAAAAAAATCCGGACCCGGATTTGCCCGTATCCGGATTTGAATATGCGATTCGGATCTAGATCCGAGATTCGGATCTGAGATTCGGATCTAAGATTCGGATCTGAGATTCGGATCTTAAAATCGCATCTGAAATCTGAATCTCAAATTCGGATCCCATACCCCGGTTATGGTAATTTCGAGGGTAATTTATAAATTATGCACTGAAAAAAAAGGATCTCTCAGTCGAAATGAATATGACTTTGACCCAAAAGATTGGCGCTTTTCAATAGGGCCAAGAACGACGTTTCTTTGCCCAAAGCATTAACTATCTTTTCATAAGCTTTAAAAACTTTAGAGAATAGAATAATCTATCTGTCAAAAGCATTTCACTCTTGACCCAAAATGAATATGCAAAGAAGTTCTTACTACAAGAACAATAGTCTCTTTGATTCATGCAAAAATTCTTGAATGAAAGGGACATTTCTTGATTAAAGAGACACTTTTCTTAAACCAATAGCGAATAATATTGACTCAACTAAAATTTATTTTGATCTAAGAGAAGTCTATACATCATATACAGGCATATTACGAGGTATATTATTTTCTGATAAATTTAGGTTTTCCTGATCTTTACTTACTACAGAGTCTTTACTTACTACAGAGTAGTAAGTAAAGTGATATTATTTTTCTCGATAGTAGTTATTTCTGCTTCTTCACTCCTTGGTATTTTTTGGGGTGGTTCATCACTCTACAAATTACAAAAAAAATGTTTCATCAGGATTAATCAAAGTAAAGCAAATAAATTATTAAAATTATAAGCTTTGGTAACATTTTGAATTTTTTAATACGACGACTTGAAATTCTAAAATTTTTGTAATTATTTGCATAACAAAATTGATACCTATATTCTTATTCTATCTATAGTCACGCATGCATTATCTAAACAGGTGCATTATGTAAATGTCTCTTACCTTTAAATATCGCAAATAAATGCTCTAATTTCCATTTTTTAAGAAACTCCTTTAAAGAATCCAGATATCCTAAAATTTGTCCATAAAAAATGACAAATGCATGTTAATAACGATCACTAATTTGTTATACGATATGCGTTTAAAAAGCAAATTATGCTAAATTCCAAGTGGAAAATTCCAAGCAACAAAACGCGTGCGTACTATGATGTGCGACCTATGAAATGCGACGTACGACTGATCGGACTGCCGACTGATTGTATACCGTCCTTCGTCATCGTCTTTGCGTGGCGTTATTATTTTCATCAAAAAGAGTATTTAGCTATTGGAAAAATGGCCATGTTTCTTGAATGAAGTACATCCTAGCGTATTTTTCTTATTATCTTAAAACAAAGTAACTTGCACTTGGTTGAACGAAAATAGATTCAAGAGCAATTTTCGAATTTTTCAAGAGAAGAAGTTTTCTTGAGTTAAGAGAGTTTTTCTTCAGGCAAAATATTTTCATCTACGCTAAAATAAATTCTCTTGCCACTAATTTTTTTTTTCAAGAACGATGACGACTTTAGTTCTTTTTCATCAGTGTGGGCATAAAAAAGTAGTTTAATTTGCAGCACAAGATATGTAATTTTCAAACAAAACATAAAAAAAATACAACCAAGTATGCGGATGCGGCATGCGCATGTTATGCATGGAACGACGACTGGCAACAGTGGCAACAGTGAATACGAATACGAGGATCTTGGATCCAGATCCTAAATCCGGACTTAAACCCGGATCTTAAATCGGAGTCTTAAATCCGGATTTTAAATCCGAATATTTATACCCGGATCGATCCGGTTCCGGATTGTACACTTTAAAAAATCCGGATCAGATCCGGATCTGATCCGGATTGAAAAAGGATCCGAATCTGATGTACAGCACTATTAAAAGGTGCATATTCTATATAGATATAGAAAAATAGTATATCTTTTATATATAGTATGCATAAAAAAATATAGGTTGGATACATATTTTATATAGATATAGAAAAATAGAATATCTTTTATATATTACCAATATTGGGTAAATATTACATATAAATATAAATATTAGTTACTGCTAAATATGCTTTGGCCGTGTTGAAACGATATTGGATAAATATTATACAAAAATATAGGTAAAAGGTGCAACTCATATATTATATTACCAATATTGGCTAGAAATTGCCAATATTGGGCCCATATACATTATTTTACCAATATAGAATTAATGTTGAGCCAATATAGTGTGCTACTGGGAAAATTTTATATTCAAACAATAATTTAAAATATTATTATGCATTATAGAAATAAACGTATTTATTGATTATATACTTTTCAAATGCATTTTGCAGATAACTTTATTCTTCTCTGCACTTTCCTGCACAATCTGCCAATCTTTGGATGAAACCAGGGCTGGAATAACAAGACAGTTTTTCGATATCAATCCAGACGGATCATATGTGTACGCTTTTCAAACGGAAAATCAAATATTCGCTGAGGAACAAGGATATTTGAAGGAAGGAAAATATCAAGTTAAAGAAGGTAATATGTATTAACAACTTCATATTTAGTATTTTTATTATACAAAATAATCTAAAAAATATTATTATTCAACAATATATTTAAAATATTTTTTTTATACAGGGCGTCCAATATTCCGTGGACATAGAACTACTTTTGGAATAAAAATAAGTTCATTGGATACAATTTACCTCTATACAAAAGTGCTTCGTTTATCTGTTAGAGGGCATCAAACTTTTAAAAAAAATAAACACATTTTTTCAGATATTTTAAGAACCTTTAATTCGGTTCGAATGAGATTTTAGGTGTCTATGTTTTGCTAAGCGCTTTAACATTTGAGTTTCCAAAAATCAAGAAAATGTAGGGGAAGGGCGAAAACCAACTCCACAGACGACTGATTTTTTTCGTAAAATAGTATTTACTATACTTTTTGTCTCTTGTTAAAAAACAGCGCAGCACATACTGTTTAAGGGAGAAATATTTTTCCCAAGCTTCTAAAAAATGGGTTTTCTCACAGCTATGGAGGTAAAAGAAAAATATATTATTTTTTTTTTTTTTTTTTTGAATTTTATGTTTGTATCACAAATGATATTTGACAATAAGCTTCATAAAAAGCTTAACAACGTAACATTAGCATTTTAAATTAATTAAGGTTCAGGTTTATATTTGACCGATGCCCTCTATAAAGATAAATTATGTGCAATTAATCAATTTTGATTAAAAACCAATGCATTTGTTCCTCTATTTTTACGGAATATGGGAATTCTGCATTATTTTGTAGGTTTGTTGGTCGTTTTTTCCAAGAGACGAGAAGTGTAGTAAATACTAGTGCGAATTCATTCTTTTACGAAAAGAAAATCTGTCATCGGTGGAGTGGTAACATAATTTATATTTTTGGCACAAAACTATGTAGGGTGGGGTAGTTTTCACTCTTCCCATACTTTTCTTGATATTTATAAAAGTCAAATGTTAAAGCAATCAGCAAAACATAGACACCCAAAATCTCATCTAAATCCATCAATGAACGGTTCTTGGAAAATATCTGAAAAAATGTGTTTACCTTTTTAAAGTTTATTTAAAAAAAAAAAAAAAAAAAAAAAAAATATTTGAATAGAAATAAATTGTGTCTAATGAACCTATTTTGATTCTAAAAATACGAAGTAGATTTGTCCAGGGAATATTGGGACACCCTGTATGTATATTAGCAGTAAAATAGTTACATAAAGTAAGGTCTGACTTACTAATTAAATAAGCGAGAAAGTGATGATACTTATTAGATAACTGATAAACAAACAAACAAGTGACATTATATCCCCTTCGATATTTTAAAAGTACGCTCATGTAATAGCTAGAGGCATAGAAATGAAAGTGATTATATTTTGATTATGTATTAAATTCGATTGTTATATGCAGGTGAATGTGCCAAAATTGATTTTATATTATTGAAGATGCGCTTAAACGAGTCAAGTCACTGGTCTCATCCTATTAATATAATATGCATTTGTCCCACACTAAAAAATCAGTGAAATTTGACTCAGATTTCACTTAATACTTTCTCAATTTCTGTCCACACCAGATTGAGTGAAATTTCCACTCTACAGAACTGAGTGGATCTTCAATTCTCAGAGTGAAAACAATCTCGATCGAGATTAGACGAAAGACTCCTTTCTTACTCATTATGGTTCATCTTGAGTAGGATTCTACTTATCTTATAACTATTCACTTTTAATGAGTGAACTCACTAACTGTTGAGTTCAAGAACTTTTTATTGAGTAACTTTTACTCAAATTTATGTTACACTTAACTCGATTAGTACTTATATCTGAGTATTAATTTCATTCAGTATTGAGAAATATATTCTAAATGATTTTTAAACTATATGTGTTTCAAATAATTGTTATTTTATAGCAGATGTGCAGGTGCCTTTCAAAGGTAAGTTTCAGTTCAGGACATGGTCCTGAACATGTCCATTCTAAAATTCTTACTTTGGAGTAAGAATTCACTCTGTAATAAAATATCAAGTTAGCTATTAGCATAGCTTCTAAAAAACAATTTAGAATATTTAGAAAAATATTTTTTTAACAAACCAAAATGAAAAGTGTAGAACCTTAAAAAATTATTTTGTCATTTTATTTGACAAAACAAATAAAACAAAAACACACTGTAACACTATTATTATAATATCAAAAAACATTTTAAAAGTTTTTTTTTTTTTATTAAAAATACAGGAACTTTTCAAGCTAGACGTCTAGAAAAATTGCATCACATCGCAAAAATCCACTTTATTAAGAGCATTCGTCAGCTCGTCTACCAACATTCTCGAATATGTATTTCTAATTTCTAAACTAACTTTAATAACGAAAATCCAGACATTTTTTCCCTCCCGATATAATTAAAAAAAAACTTTACCTGCCAAATGTTCCAGTTCCCAGTTCCAGATTGAGGAAAAGTACATAAACTCACCGGCAAAAAAAAACGGCCACTAAAAACTCGACGCAATTTCAAAGTTGGATTTCTCATGAACCACTCTATTGATCTTTGATGATTTTTCTTTTAAATTAAAATAATTCGTTTTAAAATGGATGCTACGTCAGAATTTTTTATCTGAATTTATTTTGAGCAAATACAGGGCACAAATAATAAGACGAAGTTTTTTGTCTGAACTTTGTAAATATCTCCCTGTAGGGTGTAGCTGCGGTAGTAAAGCATTATAGCTAAATTAAATCACAATGTAGCCTCAACCTTGTGAGCATTTTGTTTTAATCACCACATTATCTCTTTCTGTATTGGAGATATGCTGTTTCAAAACGAACGTCTTGGAAAAATTCAGAATTCATCTCGGAAAAGGCAGAGAGTTTTATGTGTAAATAATCAAGGAAGAAAGAAGAAATTAGAGAACAGAAATATTTATAACAAAAACAAAAAAAAAAAAAAATGCCATTATCTGTAACGGATGTTGCCTGTATTGTGGTTTTAATTAGATGGCCGAATTCAACGTTATGTCTCCAATACCATGGGTACATTTCGAACAACAGTCCAGGATGTCTGGAATCGGTTTAAAGGATTAAACTACTCAGTATCCACTCTAATTTTTCTGCAATCTCTAGTACTCTCCAATTGTAGACTGTAGCCTTTAAGTAGACATTACAAATTATTAGCGGTAATAATAGAAGCTATTGTCTGATTTACTGGCTAATCCATCTCCGTTATAAGTTATAAGTTTCTTTAATGCAGTAAGCTTCTGTCAATTATATTCTCAAAATTTTGGCAGTTTAAAGTACGGCCTTACGCACTGTCGCTATTTTGAATCAACTAGAAGTTTGTCATGAAACATTAGGAATATGCTTTAAGTCAGTTGAATTCCTTTGACATAATCATTTCACTTGACTTGTAAAAACACGCAAATAATAAATATTTAAAAAAAAAAAAAAAAAAAAAAAAAAAAAAAAAAAAAAAAAAAAATACAAATTTTATATTGCCATTGTTACATTTTTATTCAATAATTAATAATTAATTTAGGCCAATATGTCAGCAATCTTGATGGACAAATAATCAGACTGGTGTATACTGCTGATGAGAATGGATTTCATCCACAAGGAGCACATCTTCCAGTAGGATAGCATACTAAACAATCTCTCCAATGAAATTAAAATGTGATATTAGATATGTATATTGTCCACCTCATTCTTCAAAAGGTTTAAAATAAACTACAAACACATATTTATGCAAAGCAGAGGCAATCTATTCATATTAACTTAAGCCATACTTTAATTCAATATAATAATTTTATCATTATACGCTATTTTAATGTATTTTTATTTATTATTTCTCACTATATACTTGTTGAAGTAATGCAAAATATGAGTATGAAGATCGTAAAATCTAAAAGAAACATGAATTATTTTTAATGCCAAAAATAATTATCAAAGTATTAAGTTAAACACCATTGTTATTAAAAAAATGCACTCAAATAAAATACCAACCTTATATTTGTCTCTGTAGATTATAAACTGGTATTTTAAAAAAACATGTGTGGATTTTTTTAGGTCTATTTACTTTTAAGTAAAATAGTTTACAAAGAAAACGAAATTTCAAATTATCCAGAAAACTATAGATATTAGCCATTATGACTTTAGAACTTGATAATAAAGTAGAACTGTCAAATATTGCGTTTTTTAATTACAATATTCTTATAGAATTTTTATTTTATGCTTTTTATGCTTGATCTTTTCAATGGAGGTTAATGTTGAAAAATACTTCACAAATGAGCTTTTACGACTATACTTGACAAATGAGCAAATAATGACAGATATATTTCAGAAATCGTGTTCCGTAATAACGAAAATATAGGCAAAACATAAAAAAGGGGACCGAAAACCATTAGAAACGAAATTTAACCTATATACCCACTGAAGTTAAAGTTGTCATTGTCATTGGAAACATTTTAGCGGCAGTTAAAGTAACAGGTCGTTTAGCTCTTTCCATAAAGACAATCATCATTTTTCTAGTATCAATATCTGTTTCATACCATTGAGACATATAGCAAGCTCTACCCACATTTTCACTCTACAATGTACTTAATGTTAATGAAAAAATTAAATGTTTAATGTCAATGAATTATTACCAAAGCACGCATGTTATGTCCAACCCAACAGTAAAGAGCAACTTGTGTTATCATATTTACCAAATAAATTAAACAAATTCCAAATTCACCACTTCCAAAAGGGACCTAAAAATAAATTATGCAGGCTGGTAAATTACCATTTAGAGAATATTTTTATCTAAAATCTGATAACATTCCTGTATTTATAAGATTAATATAATACCATCAAAATATATAACGATATAATGTGGTATCACAGGTAGTATATAAGATAATATCCCTAGTAACTCTCGTCTAGATAAATAGCATTTCAACTTGGCTTGAAATGACGATCGATGATATTTTACATTAAACTTTTATAATAATAATAATGAGAATGGTCTTTATTCCTGGCCAACTATTACGCAATTTTTCTTCGACTATACACATACTGAAGCTAATCCAAATGCACTAAAACAAATCACTGTGGCACTAGCAGTTAGTTGGGCAAACGATATGTAACGGTAAAACTTTTCAATTTCCTCTATAAACCTAAAATTAATACATTAATTATTATACAAAATCGATGGACGATAACATACAAAAGGAAACAACATATCATCCAAAACATAAAACGTAAAGCATGCTAAGTCTCGTAACGGCAGTTCTTCTACTACCAAAAGTTGTGAGATCTCATGCAAAACTACGTCAATTATTTTAGTTTGTAGTATTTTGATAAAACACGCAGATGTTTAAATTTAATGAGAGTAATTTTAGCTATAGATATGTTTCGGTTTGTTATGTCTTTTCAAGAGTTATAAAACCAACCAAATCTAACAGTGTACTTGCTATGAGCGGGGTTGGGTTTAAGGAGTTTACAACAGGGGCACTAAAAGATGTGTTTAACAATTCTTGTTGATCGTTTAAACCCACCCCATAGCAAATAATTTTCTTTACACTGTAGTTTAAGACGGTTAGGTTTATGATGCTCTTGAAAGAGACCTAACAAACTGCAACATATATGTAGAAGTAAAATTAGTCTCATTAAACATCTAAAAACGTGTTCTATTGAAAAGCTAATATTTTAACGATGTTTTCAAAGAATCAACCACAGATCCAGTAGTGCCGATAATTATTTCTCTTCTACTTGTTTTAGTAAAAAGGGCCCTACCCGTAACGATATCTGAGAGATTTGAACTGTACAGTCCTTCGATTCAATCCAAATCTCAACGTGTAGTGACAATTTCGATAAAGATCTCATCGAAGAGATAAGATCTGCAATCTTTGAACATGCTGAATTAACTTAACTGCACATACCACATATTTGGCAGGAACTGTACTAGACTATAGACTGACGAAATTATCTTTCATAAAATCTGAACATGTAGTGTCAAAGGATTGCTATCGATTTGGTTTTAACATATGAACGGTGCGATTTGGCATGCAGATCCAATCGTTACGTGTAGGGCCCCTTTTAGTGTCTCCATAGACAGGTTGTTGAATCGGTGTTTCCATAAGCACCTAATTATAAATTGACACTAATTATGAAAAGATAAGAAGCATAGAACATTTCCAGGCACATACATCTTCAAACATATTTTTCTCGAATTTTTAATCTACACTATTTAAAAATCATCTTTACTCAATATGAAAATAAATTGCATTCTTCTTAAGGCCAACTGGAAGTAAGTGCCCTTAAAAAACACAAGAGTACAGGCCAAGTAATAACTAGTAAGTCTAGGGCTTGAACTCGCCAAAATTATCATTGTCATTCACCAGCCGTCTTTGCCTCCTTTTTTCGATCGTATGGTTATGGAATAGATATAAATTTATAACAAGTTGTTGAACAGCTGCTTCATAAACACTAACTGAAGAATAGCTAACTTGGTTTTATATGAAATCTTACAACTTCTGGTGGTAAAAAGAAGTAGAAGATCCGTGTTCTGAGATTTGGCATTTTTACATTTTATGTTTTGGTGGGATTCTATTTTACTGATCAGATAAATAATGTCATTTGGTGTCATCCATAAATATTGTTTCAAACTTTCCTTAAAATGGACCGATAACTTAAAAGTACTAAAGATTTATAAATAGATGGTTCTCTATCTTCAAAAACGTCGATCAAAACAAATTGGTACATTGATAGATATATTAATTTTTTTTTTGTTTCGTTTCTTTGACCTGTATATCTCTCTTTTTTACTCTTGGCTTTAGGTCGTTGGGGTTGCAAAGTACGATCGAGTCCCTGTAAGAATCTACGTTCAAGAGGCTAGAAAAAGACATATACTGTCGAAACGTCGTCATAAAATAAAAAAATAATGAACAAATCTAGAAACATCTTTACAACCCCAACGACCTAAAGCCAAGTAAAACAAAAATATATTAATTTTTATAATTCAGCAGTTTCTTAGGTTTGTTTACGGATCTTCTTGGTTTAGTTGAGTAGCTACTAAGCTAGACTGCGCCAAGCAAGATCTGAAACTTCTCAAGTATATGTGTTTTTGTTGTAAACATTGGAAATAAATAAATAAAAAAAAAAAAAAAAAAATACATTTATTATTATTATAAGTAGAACATCAATGATAAACATGATGTATCGTTTGCACATCTAATAAAATTTAATCATAAATTACCTTAATATCTTGTTGTGAAAAACAAGACAATTCCTGAATTCTTCAGTATAATTCTTCTTCATCTTACTGCCGATAATTTCAAATTTATTCATCAAAACTTGCAACAAACAAGAAGCCAAAGTAACGAGTCTCACATTAATTACATCAACCAGAGTATTCAAGTGAGCTGATACCAAAATAGCTATGACTTCCCCAATAAAAGTCGATATATACTTGAAATCAGAATCGATGTTGTATGGCAAATAGGCAGTTATAGGCAGGGCATACACGATTTGCTTATTCAGTAATGGAGGAACTGAGTAAAAAACTGATCCAAGCAAGCAACTCCCACGATATACCTTCCTTAGAAATGTCATTAGCTTCAAATTTTCGCTTATCTGCTTAATATGAGATGATTCCTGGTTTATAAGAGTTCAAGAAATTCATATGACATTTTATTCTATATCTCTTAGTATATCAAAATTCAGCAAGAAAAAGATAAATTTAACTATAAATGCTGATTCTTCGATGAGTAACATTACTGCATCTATAACGTGTCTGATATCTTTTGTAGTGAATACAACTATAAGTAAGGAGAGTTCTGTTAACAGTGTTACCAAGAAGAAGAAGATTTTTCGAACATAGTAAAATGTTATGTAGCTTGTGTTCATTTTGGTGTATAATCCACTAATGTGTAGAAGTTTTCTTTCAAATTCAAGTGTTTTTCTCCAGTTAAAATTCTGAAACAGTTCAAATTAGCTAATTGCTCGTTTATAGCATTAGAATTTGTTTTTTTTTTTTTTTTTTTTTTTTTTTTTTTTTTTTTTTTTTTTTTTAAATTTATTTTTTAAAGATAAATAATTACCTGCATCATTTAAGAATTTGAATTTGCTGCACTAAACAGAGAAATATAATATAATGATTTTAAACTAATTGTCTGTAGAGCAATTATAAAATAGACAGAACTAGATAAATATCTTTTGTGAATATTGAGGGCAAATTACCAAATTAACAATTCTCTATGAAGTGACACGTGCAGTTGTGTGCTTTATATTCTTTGTTGGCATTCCATTATTTGATACATTTGAATGTCATAATTGGGATAATTGGTAATATGACGTAGTTTTAATACACACACATTTCAATAGTCCCACATTAAATTTACACTTTATATGCTCTTTTAGTAATTTGATATATTCATAATGGTATATATATTGTTTTTATTAGGACTAAAATTGAGACTTTTTGTGGCGAGGCTGTACGTTTTTACAGCTGAGGCACAAAAAATCATTTTACTCGAATAGAACATGCTCTTTCTTAAAAAATGTCTATACCTATGTGGCGGATCCATCTCTCCAAAAAAAATCCTATATGGGTATTTCGCCACTGCACTGCAAGAAAATACTAGGTACTTGTCAGAAGTTATGTTTACAGTAATACCAAATTTGCCTAAGAAAGAAAAAATGCTTAACGTTTCGGAAAGTTTATCTCTTTCCGTCGTCGGAAGCAAAAAAAATACAAAAAATAAAGAAAAAAACTATTTAAAATATTTAAATTTAACTATTCGAGAACACTTTACTTTTTAAAACAGATGCGTCTACAAAGAAACCGTCGTTATTTTGATAGCCTCTAAAGGCGGCTACAGACGTTCATGCATACTTGACAAGTGTACTTGTGCAAACGTACCTGTACAAGTTCGCATTGACTCCACACAATGCAAGCGCACTTGAATAGTTTTAGTCTGGTTTTAGTAGGTAAAAATGGACGAAGAAGACGCGCTAGCTCTTGTGATGTTCGTTATTCTGCTTAAATAAAAGAAAACCCGTCGATTTTGATGGAAAAACTGCCTTCTAAAAAGGAATATTTATTCACATACTAATATTTTAAACGAATTGAAGTTTTACCCTGCTAAATATTTGTTCTTAAACTGTTTATTTTTACAATCAAATCGCGGTTTGCAGTTTTATCAATTTCTTTTAATTTTTAATTAAACTTTTACATGCAAACTCTCTCTTTGTTTTTGTTATGATAGTCTTTTGATTTTACTTGCCATAAACAAAGAGATTCTCTATATATACTAATGAACTCCACCAATACCTCTCGCATACTTTTTTCATGTTCACTGGCCATTTTTATCTATCTTCTGGTAACAAACAAATAAGAACCAAGCAATAAAACTACTAGAATCAACTTCAGGCTTGCGCAAGTTTGATACACATGTTCATGCATACTTGCGCAAATCACTGGGGCATGAAGAAAATTCGTACAAGTCTATGCCGCTTGAACAAGTCGAAATACTTGTACAAGCTCAAGATTCTTATACAAGTATGCTTGCACAAGTACACTTGCATGAACGTCTGCTTAGCTTTCGAAAAATAAAGGGATTTTTAATTCAATCTAATAAAAATAAATGTATTGCTCATACATCTGTAGATGTTAGTAATGTATAGTAATTGCTTCTTTGATTTTAAAAGAACATAAATATATAAATAAACCTACGTAAAATTTAAAAATAATCGCTGAAAAGTTTAGGGGTTTTTGATTTTACCTTATTAGAAATAATTGTTATCAGGTAGTAATTGTTAATTTTGAAGTTTAACTTGATATAATGTCTTGATAATGTCATTTAACTGAACGTCAACGGTTTCTTGTAGACGCATCTGTTTATTACAGTTGAGGTTGGAACCTTTGGTGTTACACAGCAAAATAGAACGCGTCACCACAGTACAGCAAAACACTTTTACTTTTACACTGGACGCGCGTTTCGCTAACCATGTTAGCATCATCAGCAGATGATTATAAACTCACAGTTTCACAGTTTATAATCATCTGCTGATGTCTTTGCTATGCTGGCAAGCGCGCATCCAGTGTTTTAATGTTAACAATGATTTAGTATTATTGTATCTGTTAAAAAAGTAAAGTGTTCTCGAATAGTTGAATTTAAATATTTTTAAATAGTTTTTTCTTTATTCTTTCTATTTTTTTGCTTCCGACGACGGAAAGAGATACGCTTTCCGAAACGTTAAAGCATTTTTCTTTGTTAGGCAAATTTGTATAACTGTAAACATAACTGCATAATGTGGTATTTTCTTGCTGTGCAGTGGCGAAATACTCATATGGGATTTTTTTTTTTTTTTTTTTTTTTTTTTTGTTTAACTTTTTAAACATTTTCAAACGTTGTAAATAATATGTACATTCCTACAACCTAATATCATTAATAATTATGGCTTATATTGTCAACCACTTCGCAAAAATTAATAATAAAAAAAAATCTACAAAAATAATTTATTAAAGTATAAAAATTCTAGTATAATACGAATTTGCGTCCAATGTAATTTAACTTTAATAAAAATAAAACTCTATTAGACATTTAGTAGGTAGGTATTTGTGTTGAATAAAACTCTTAAGTATTACAAGCTGTATACTGTTACATAAAATAGGTAAATTACATGGTTATTTAGAAGAATTTAAAGAAGGTGCCCTGAACTGTTATGAAAAATGTGAATTATTCGAATTTCTGCATTAACTAAGCCATAATATTATTATTTATTACATATTTGCTACATTTCTTATTGTGTATGTAGTAGGTTTAGTTGTCACTATATACTCTCTGAAGTACGGCAAAATACGAATATGATGATCGCAAAATCTAAAATAAAAACATAAGGTGTTATTTACTCTTTGGCTGATATACACAGGATGAATCTTAAATAACTGCAAATGTTTTTCAAGGACTGGTAGATCTGGAGTGCAAAATATGTGCTCTTTGAAATTTAAAAAAAATATTTTTTGCATATTTTTTTTTTTTTTTTTAACATTTTTTCTGTTTTTTGTTCCTCTAAAGGTAATCAACTACCTCTATTACTATAATAACAAGATATATATTATATTTTTTTTAACTAAATACTAAAAAAAAATGATAAATATTTTTCCGAAAAATACAAAATTTCAACATTTTTTTTCAAGTAATAAACCTCATAGCCGCGTTTATGTGATCGAAATATTACAACCCTAAAACAGTTTGGTTAAAGATTCACCCTGTATAACAAGTAAAATACATCTTACAGATGTCAATGTTGTCAATGTCATGGGAAACATTTTAGCTGCCGTCAAGGTCAATGGTCTTTTGGTCCTTTCCATGAACAAAATCATCATTTTCTTTGTTTTTGTGGTTTTGTACCATTTTTGACATATAGCAAGCAGTACTTAAATCCTCGCTCTTTCAACATAAAAATAGATATTATTTTTTTTTGAACTGTTTTTTGTACATTACCAGTGCTCTCATGTTATGTCCTGCCCAGCAGTAGAGGGCAACCTGTGTGATCATGTTGATCAAATAAATCAGAATAAATCAAATTCTCCACTACCCACTGGGACCTGAAATACAATTTTTAATTAGATACTCAGATTTTTATATTTTTATTTATTTATAATGTTTTTAGAATATAATTCTATAAGTTTTAAAAAATATTACTCACTATTGCTAAACCAAATGCACTAAAACAAATTACTGTTGCACTAGCTGATAGTTGTGCAAACGTTATGTAGCAGTAAAGTTTTTCAATTTTCCACAAATCTGGAAATGACACATGATCAAATTAATATTATAATTATTGCCCTTGGTCACGTAAATTGTCCATTATACAGTATATCCCGGATTTTCTTTACAAGGAGGAAAAACTTTATTTACATTTTGAGAAAATGCATTCTTCATAAAAATTTTTGCTTGTTCTAAAATGGTTAATCCCGTTTATACTTTTCCAAATTTCCATACCGTTTTAGAGAAAATTAAGAAAAACTTGAAAATATATGGTTGATTTTTTTCCTAGGTAAATTAAGTAACAAGTCTCAAATTACAGGCAATTAGATGCATATGAAAGCATCAGAATTAATAAATAAACTTGCGTTTGAATTTGCTACTAAAAATCACATTCCAAATAGATTTACGAAAGAAGCAGCGCTGGCCGAGAGTGGTTGAGAGGATTTCGTAGTCGACATCCTGAAATATCCCTACGGCAGCCTGAAGCTGTGTCTGCTGCTAGAGCTATGGCATTTAATGAGCCTAAATAAAAAATTAATATCTTTGAAATGACACTGGAAAAGGAGAAAATTGATGTCGACCGCATTTATAATATGGTCGAAAGTAGTCTATCCACAGTGCAGAGGCCTCCAAAAATTTTTGCGAAAACGAGAAAGAAACAAGTTGGGTCGATAACTAGCGCTGAGAGAGGTCAACATATAACATGTGTCTGCTGCATGAATGGTATAGAAAATTTTGTGCCACCAGCTCTGATTTTCCTCAGGAAAAATAGAAAGGAGGAGCTTCTAGATGCTTTACCTCCAGGGTCCTTTGGATTATTTAACGAAACTGGATGGATGACAGCTGATACCTTTGTTTTGTGGCTGAAGCATTTCCAGAACTTTGTTAAGGCTTCTCTCGAATCAAAAGTTTTGTTACCTTTGGATGGGCACTCGAACCATAAATCACTAAATGCATTGACATTTGCCAAAAACAATGGAATAATTATGTTGTGCTTTCCTGCGCATTGCACACATCGTATGCAGCCGCTCGATGTCTGTTTTTATGGTCCTCTGAAGACATTTTATAATCAGGAATGTGCAATCTGGCTGAAAAATCATCCGGGACGTGTAATTACACAGAATCAAATCGGCGAACTGTTCACTTCTGCTTATGGAAAAGCAGCAACGATAAAAAACGGATTTTTGAAAACGGGCATTCGTCCATTCAACACAAATATCTTCCCAGACGATTTCTTCGAGGCAGCTGAGACCACAGATAGGTTGCTGGAGCCAAGCAACATAGAAGAAGAAACATTTAATCGGCCAGAAACATCAGTCAGCAATGAAATAGAAGACAGTGAGGTGTTCTGAAAGAAACAACAAAGATCAAGATGAAATTAGCAATGAAAAAATTGACGCTAGAGAAGACGAGGTAAATGATACTTTTAAAAAATAGTACCCTGCAGGAAATTTCTCTAGTGCCTAAAGCAAGTGGCACTAGAAAAAGGATGACTAGGAAAACAATAACCGGAGTTTTAACAATTACTCCTAATTTGGAAGAACTGAAGAAGAAAGAAGAAAAGAAAATACGGGGAAATGTTCGTCAATGCAAAAAAAACATTTTAAATCATTCATGTTCCATTACACAAACAGAAACTGAAGAAGAAGATCCGTTTGCAACCGAGGACAGTGAGAATGATGTAGCTTGTTTTTACTGCAAAGATTTGTTTAGAAATTCGCGGTCCAGGGAGGCCTGGATTAGTTTTATGAAATGCAAGAATTGGGCACATTGTGAATGTGCCGGAGTGTCCCCGAAACAAAAGAAGTTCATTTGTGAAGTTTGCCAAGATTAACTTTTTATTTAGTTACTTTCTTTTTCCTTATTTTTTGTGTTATGTTGTTATTATCATTTGTTATAAGCATATGTCATTTTAAACCTCATGCATGTGTCATTTTACATACATACTTGTTGTAAAATGACATAGTGTAACAATTTTCTTAATTTTATTTTCATTTTTTTTTTTTTTTTTTTTTTTATATGTTTTTGTATTTATCAATAAAAGATTATAAAGAGAATATGTAACTTTTTTCCCAGTTCGATATTTCGAATGGCTTCTGCAAAAACAGGTCTGAAATAAAAAGTATGTCATTTTAGGACACCTTCCTATATTTTTCGAAACTACTTCCATATCTCATTTTTTATTATACTACCTATACCAATATCGAATAGTTTTCGAGATATAAAAACATGCACAAAATTTATAAAAACTAGATCTAGAATTTGTTTTTTTTTAAAGTTGGATTTTTCTACGTTTGGTGTTCTACAACACTGTCGAAAACTTGGAAAATGCTAGCAGGCAAGCTTTTAGATAGTTGCAAACCTATCCCGTTATAATAAATCTCGTCATAAAAAAACAGAAAAACATATTCAAAATTCAGTGGTAACAGCAAAACAAATATTTTAGTCCCAAATAATTTTTTTATTATTATTATCTATCACGGCTTACTAATAAAAATTATGTGTCTTCTAAATATGCAGTAAATAATGAAAATAAATATAATAGTGTTACATATTTTTGAAAAGCTCATAGCAAGTCAGATCATATGATTCGTATGTTTATAAACAGGTGTTTTTTTTGTAGAAAATTAGACTACGCCACTGTATTTGATGTAAAAACTTCTACAAGAAGCAGTTTTCACCTTCCCGATACCTTACACAATAACAAAATACAAAAGTGTCCCTAATTGCAAAATCGCAAAAGGACCCTGCAGCTCCAGAAACGAAGAGGGTTATAAAAATTTTGTTTACTGCAACTTCACGTTTGATAAAAAAAGTGGGATAGATTTGTGCAAACTGCATCCTCCTATCTGTACTACTAACGGAGATACACCGTATGATTTCAACTAAAATGGATACCCTGTACATTGTTTGCTTGATTTATTAGTAAGCCTACCTCAAAATCTTATTATGCAAAATAAGACATTCTCTGTACTTCACAGAATCATCTTCATCCAAATTAATACCAATATCCTTCAATTTATTCATCAGAACTTGCAATAAACAAGATCCCAAAGTAACCAACTTAATATTGATCATATCGATCATAGTGTTTAAATGAGCTGATACTAGAACTGACCCTACTTGGTATATAAAAGTCGGAACATAGGTAAAATTATTAGTTATATCGTATGGCAAGTATGTGGAATATGGCAAAGCATATTTCACATCTTTTCTTAGTAATGGAGGCACAGCATAAAACGCAGAACATACAAAGCAACTTGTGCGGTACGTTTTCCTTAGGTATGTTATCTCTTTAAGATTTTCTTTTATGTTTTCTAAGTCAGAAAACTTCAAATTGTAAGAATTGAAGTCTTCCAGCATATTCTCTATGGCATTTAATTCATTGATATTCCACATGAACAAGATGAGCTTGAAGACAAAGGCCGTTTCCTCTATGAAGAACATAACTCCATCTATCTTCTTGGTCAGGTCGTTTGGCATGCAGATGTCTATCAAGAGGCTTAGTTCTGTTATGGTGGTCATGGATATAAAAAGGTAATCGAACATGAAGTAGAAAATCGTATTTTTGTGTTTAGTTTTGTGTATAATCCGCTCAAATACAGCAACTTCTTTTCGGGGTAAATAGTACTTTTCCAATTGAAGTTCTATAAAGAGTTATGCAGTATTATTAAAATACAAAAGTATTTTTTTTTTTTTTTTTTTTTTTTTTTTTTTTTATATTATATTTACTTATTGAACCATTTCGACTTAAAGAGTTCAGAGTTAAGAATGATTTACTAACACCGGTGCGTCTCAAAGTGGCTCACCTATACCACCATTTTTTTCATATAAAACGGGGAATTTGTGTAATCGGTATATAACATAGAATTAGGATTACAACCCTGTCCGACATTCAATATTGTTTTTCAGGTTGAGTTCCGGTTTCACCGGAATGACTACGGCTTTAGTTTTAAAAGGCTCCCTCGGTATTTTTGACTTTATTCTATATAGACCAATGGTCGCGTTCATCAGGACGTAGCGCTACCGTAGCGATCACTAATTTTCTGCTAAACGCGCCGATTAGTTGTAAGCGCTCTGGGATCAGTCGCCATTTTCCATCAGATTTGGAAATGCACTTCACCGCTACCATTGCGTGATGGATTAACCATCACATCACGCCAAAATGTCACAAAATGTTTTTGGAAAACGAAAACAAAACATTTTGTTTTATTGGTCTCTTGGTTGACTAATCCCCTCGATTTGTACCAAAATGGAGTAAAGCTATTCGCCTTGTTTGATAAAAAGCAGTCTTGGAACGCTCATCAACGGTATATCTGAATAACCATCGAGCGAACGACAACACTCGAACAGAACAACTACCTCGTACTTGACATTTTTTGCATATGGTTTCTTTGAAATTATGGCAATGCAGTTAGCAGCAGCAATTTGACCAAATGTGTGTAGTACCAAATTATGCAATAAAATGGTTTTCAAATTTGCTAATGAGTCCATTTCCTCGTTCCACATTTCAAAAAATTAAAGATATGATTAAAAATACGATTTGATTTTAACCGGCCAGGAAAAAAAAACAGTATATAAAAAAAAAAAATATATTTTTTCTGAGAACTCGTTGATTAAAATTAGTGCGCAAATACCGAAGCCCTTAACACTCTCAGATTGAAATTTAAAATGCTTTTTTTTTTTTTTTTTAATTGAAAAAGTTGACATAGATATGTCATTCTATCAGTACATCATTTTCTATCAGTCAAAAGTAAAAATACAGAGGTGTCATTTAAAATCAAAGAGTTGTAGTCGTTTCCGGTGAAACAAGAAAAAATAAAAAAAAAAAAAAAAAAAAAACAATCTAATTTATTGTAAACTTTTAGACACACTGTATAAACAAATATGTTTTTTTTATCTCAAAATAAAGAGTTATGGGAATTGATACTTACGCTTTTGAGAGACGCACCAGTTGTATTTAGTTATTATAATTGATTTATAAGATAATATTGATAATAAAATGATTATACAGGGTGAGATCTTAAAAACGTGCAAATATTTTGAGTTGGTATATTTCCACCTTCAATTAGAATTTCTATAATGTGGAAATTTTCTTCTTATGTTGAGGGATGACTGCTTCTTTTGGTTGAATTCTTCACCAATTGCTACCTTTTTTATAACGCACTGTAAATACTGTACTTTTTATTTTTTAAAAAAAAACTTTTTACAATTAGTTTTCAGTAAATATAAATTATACGAATGTAACTGTCAAGATTGCGTCGAAAATAAAAGAGACTCTCGAAAATAAAGAGATGTTCGGTAGGAGCCCATCTGTCTGGGAAGAGTGTTTGAGAGTGAACTTGAGTAAGTGATGAATGAGTGCCGAATGAGTCTGTGTGTCCGGAGGGTCCTCCTTTAGTTCCTTAAATACAGTCTCCGACTTCCCAACAGCCAGAGGCCGTCACACTACTTTTAATATTTTGAGTAAGAGTTAAAGTCATTAGGAATTGTCGATTCTTCAAGAAGGACAACTAAAGTCTAGACGTTACAATGTTTGCCTAAGAGTTTAGTTCGACGGTTGATTCTTTTAAAGGTAATGAATATTTTAGAGCCCTTGATCGTGGGAAAAACTTGATGCATATCGTCTTTTGATGATGCACAACCAAATTTTAACAGTGGTGTAACTGAACAGTCAAAACTTTCCTAAAGGCAACATTATAATCGAATTAATTTTAAGTGGGACCACAACAAACCCCAAAACGCGATTTTTTTAAATTCGGAATTTTTGAATTTTTTTTAGAGTTAAAAGAAAACATAATTTTTTTTTTTTTTTTTTAAATTTTTAGTTAGAAGATTAAATTTACAAGAGAAAGCTAGAAAAAGATTAATTGGTTCTCAAAATTTTAGCAAACTAATTTTGGAATTTTTTTTCAAAAGTAAAAATATCCTCAGTTATTTTGCATTTATTTGAGAAAACAGTAAAGAGAAATTATGTTTCTTTTATCCAGAGATCTAACCACCAGCCCTGAAAATATTTACACATTATTTAAGACTAACCCTGTATATGTAATAGCCACAAATATAGATATTTACCTGCATCTTAGAAAACTATAAATGTTATTACGCTTAGTGTAGTAGTATTTCTGGAGGGCAACTTTTACTACAAAGATAGTATGCTAATTAATAGGCACAGGCATATTTGAAGGAATTAGAAGAAACTTCAATAAGAACTAATTGCTTTTAATTATCTTTTTTGAGTTTAATGAAAAATAGATTGGTTCATTACAACCGGCGTCTCCTAATTTTCTGGTGGAATAAATTGTATTTTGGTTAATAATTTTATGAACCCATAATGAATATTTACATTATT